AACCTTTTAAAATAAATAAATATGTCATTAACATTTTTATCTTTTTGACAATGGAGTGAATTTAACATCACACAATACTTTTGACACACTATTTGTCTCTCCTGCACACGTTTTTGCTTATGACATGTAGATTGCATAAAATGAAAGAAAAATGATGGACTGATATAAATTGAGACATGCAGGATAAAAAAAATTGGTGAGGTATCAAAAAAATGGTGTGCAAAGTTAATTCGTATTTTCCCCCTAGCTACTCTCACTGACTAGTTACTACTAAAGAATGACTTTCATATAACAATTCTCTACTCACAATATACACAATACATGACATTGAATTGTTAAATAGAATGTCATTATAGAGGTGAATCTGCTTTATTTAAGTTGATATCCAATTACTAAGTTTGCTTACCACCAGAGCAATTCAATTTTTTTATTGTTTTAATTTATTTTATTTTATTTTTTATTAAAAAAAGGGCTAGAGAAAATACAAAATTTTCTTCTTCTTTTTGTTGTTTGAAATATTATACGTTTAACACAGATGCAAGTTTAGCTAACTTGTCTAATGCAGTGCACTCACACTGTTGAAAGGACATTATTTTCCCGATTATACCTTAAGACTTTTTTCCTTGTCATTTGCCCTTGTTGGGTAAAAATTATTTTTGTTTTATTAATAAATTAAAAAGAAAGGTAAGGGCAAAATAAAAATAATTAAGTATCAAAAACCCATCACCCTTTTAGTATCATTCCAAATTACTCTTAACTTTTTTAAACATTCCAAACAAGTAGCCAACATTTTCCAAATTTCACATACATTAAGTCCCAATTAATTTTTCGAACATAGATTATATTCAAAACCTACCAATTGGGTATATCATGGTAAATCTAAATTTCAAACATATATAAATTACATAATATTGAACCTCATGATCAAACGGATATTGAATCAAAATAGACCAAAATTGAAATTACATTTTGAGGGCAATCTCGGAACAAAGAAGAGGGTTATGATTCAGATAGGGATTCAATGAGCTTATTTATGCTCATGTGATTTCCTCGTTCCCCAATTATTGGCTCGTAAAGCTTTCAATTCTTCTTTGTAGGCAGTGATAACCTCAATGACCTTCTTCTTGGCATTGGCAACTTGAGTTGTAGGGTGGAGTTGGTGCTTTTGCGTTGGATTTGGAGGTAATGGCCTGATGGGAGTGTTGGTAACTGTTAGTTTGGAGGCTATGCTTTCATAACTTTCTATTGATTTTGGAGACAAAGTAAGTGTTAGTTAATTTAACAGATTTCAATAAATTGGCTACCTGTTTGAATGTTTAAAAAGGTTGAGATCAAATTGAAATAACATTAAAAGGTTGGGAAATTTTATAGTCTTAATCCAAATAAAAACACTTATTGAGCTTTAAGCCACCGTAATTCAGCCCAGCAGCGAATTCGAAGCATTATTTTTGTTGTCCTTTTCTTTTTCTTGTAAAGGAGAAGAAAGGCTTAAGAAAATCAAATGTAACACGCGAAAGCTGTTGCGAGAACAACAAATGTATGTTGTTAACAAAGCCCTTCCACATTCAAATCTCGGCCACCAACAACGGCTACGTCCAACGAGCCCTTCAAAACCTCCATGGACTCGACGCCCTCGACTGCGGAGCTTACGGCCACCTCATCCAGCACTGCACGGTGCGCCGCCTGGTCGGTCCGGCGAAGCAGCTCCACGCCCGCCTCGTCCTCTTCTCCGTCACCCCCGCCAACTTCCGGCTTCAAAGCTCATCAATTTTTACTCTAAAACCAATAACCTCAACTATGCCCGCAAGCTGTTCGATCAAATTCCCCATCCAAACGCCTTCTCTTGGAACGCCATGCTCGTTGGGTATTCCCTTAACAACGTGCACGTCGACACCCTGAAGCTGTTTTCGGCTATAGTGTCTTCGTGTTCGGAGCCCGACAATTTTACCGTGACTTGTGTGTTGAAGGCTCTGGGCGCTTTGCTTTCAGGTTCAAAATTGGCTAAGGAGGTACATTGTTTGTTCTGCGTTGTGGGTTTGATTCGGATGTTTTTGTTGTTAATTCTTTGATTACTTACTACTCGAGATGTAATGAGGTTGGTTTGGCGAGAGCTTTGTTTGATAGGATGCCAGAAAGAGATATTGTGTCGTGGAATTCAGTGATTGCGGGGTATTCTCAGGCTGGGTATTATGATATTATCAGGAGTGTAAAGAGTTGTACAGGGAGATGACAAGCTTAGGAAAGTTTAGGCCTGTTGGGTTGACAGCGGTTAGTGTCTTGCAGGCATGTTTACAGTCGAATGATCTTATGCTCGGTATGGAAGTTCATCAGTTTGTGAATGAGAATCAGATCAAGATGGATGTTTTGCATTGTAATGCTCTTATAGGGCTATACGCAAGATGTGGTAGCTTGGATTATGCTCAAGAATTATTCGATGAGATGAGTGAAAAGGATGAGGTCACTTATGGCTCATTAGCTTCGGGGTACATGTTTCACAGGTTTGTTGACAAAGCCATTGGATGTATTTCAAGATAGTAAGAAGCCAAAGTTAAGTACTGGGAATGCTGTGATTTCAAGTCTGGTTCAGAATAACCGGCATGAAGATGCCTTGGATTTAACTCGTGAAATGCAGTCATGTGGTTGCAAACCAAATACCGTGACATTGTCAAGTATTTTTCCTACAATATTGTATTTCTCAAATCTGAAAGTTGGGAAGGAAGTACATGCTTATGCTGTTAAAAACAATTTTGATGGGAATATTTATGTTGCAACTGCTATTATTGATACTTATGCGAAGTCGGGGTTTCTGAACGGGGCACAACGGGCTTTTGATCAAGCAAAATGTATGAGCTTAATCATTTGGAAGTCAATAATCTCAGCTTACACATCCCATGGAGATGCTGATACGCCTCTTAGCATCTTGTATAAGATGTTGAATAACGGGATTCAACCAGACCAAGTGACATTTACAACGGTATTAACAGCTTGTTCTCATTCTGGAGTGGTTGATGAGGCTTGGAAGATCTTTGATGCCATGTTTCCGAAATATGCCATTTTTCCGTCGGTTGAGCATTATGCTTGCATGGTAAGTGTTCTTAGCCGAGCTGGGAAACTCAGCGAAGCTGCAGACTTTATCCACAAAATGCCAGTTGAGATGGGAAGAAGCTGATCAGGTCAGGGAGAAAATGAAAGAAGTTGGGCCGAGAAAGACTCCTGGCAGTGGCTGGATTGAAACACGTGATGGGTACAAAGCTTTACAGCAAAGGATGTATCGAATGAAAAAACCGAAGAGATTTAGGAAACACTGGATGGATTGCTGGGGTCGATGAAAGCAAAAGGATACGTTTTGCAGGATGAATTAGATGAGGAGAGTGTTAATTGTTGAGCCAAGATCACTGCTCCGGTTCATATGGGTATGCTTAGGATCCAAGAAACGCCGTCTTTTTCCAAAGTGGCATAGAATTCAAGTGTTTTTAAGTGCTTAAAAGCATGAAAGAACTTCCAATTCAGTTTGCTGATTGGGTGTTTAGTATTGACACTCATCTTTTACTTTTCTATTTACAAGTAGTGAAGTTGTTAATAGCTTTTGGACCTGCCCATACTTTTTAAGGGACCTGCCCCTACTTTTTAAGGGGACCTGCCCATACTTTATTCCATACTTCTAACAAAGCTAGCTGCAAATCTTTTCTTGCTGTTAAAGAATCCAATGTGCATGATTTTTTTCCGGCATTTCCTCGGCCCTGAATCGTGATCATGGTTTGGTTGCCTACAAAGGTTATCATTGTGTCTCCTCTACAAGGGATTTTCACTCTTACTAGGCCTTGATTGTAGTGACGAGGATGCCCCTTGTGGAATCAGATACATACCCAACCCATTGGTTGGGATGTAGTTTAGGCCATTTCAAGGTGCTTTCCGAAAAAGCACCTAAAGCTCTTCTCTGAGTCCGAAAGTGCTTTTAAGTTTTTTCTACACAAACTCAGAATGCGCTTTTGGTTGTCAAGCAAACCCAAATAATACCAAAAGTTCTTGTGAAAACAGGGGACAAAATGGTCATTAGGCTAATTTACCAGATCTAGCAAACAATTTACTCAACTTCCAATGAAGATGAACCGGAGCTGTTGGTGGTAAATGCAAGTGTGAAAGGTGACACGATTCCTTGAGAAGCGAAATGATATATATTAGCATGGCGGTCAAGTTGGATCATCTTACCATTTGCATTTGCATTATTAAGAGTGAAGGGGACAAGGAGAGCGAGCCATGGATGGGATGGGCCAATCGGTTTTTCTACTCTTCTACTTGTTTTTCTTTACATAATTATATAGGAAGGACAAATGAGGTTTGAACTCGACACACAACTTGTAGACAAACCAACCTACATAACCAACCACTTGATTCAATTCATCTAATCTAATACCCCACATGCACATCTCCATTGCTAAAGTGCTAACCAACCCCTCTTATACCAACTTAGCTTTATGCATTGTTTTTGTTGTCATTTGACTAGATTAAGAGTTCGACTCTCGTTTTTTTCTTACATGTAAAGAAATATAACACATTATGACTTGACACTAACAAAATTAATGATGATTTAAGATTTCGGATAACCGAAAATGTAATTACCATATATTTCACATAAATGTGATTTTGTGGACGTAAAGACATGATTAATGTAAGATTTTGACTCATTACAAATCTCATGGCCACAACAATATACTATGAACAATAATTTTCTATTTCTTTTTCTTCTTTTGTACACCTTTACCTTTTTTTGGTTCCCTTATTTTTTTTTTTTCTTTGATTTACTTATCTCAACCTAGGGAGAGAGAGGAGGTAAATGTGTGCCAAAATCATTTCCCTATGGAATTTACGAGAGTGGAACAAAAATCAAAGGGGTTACAATGGTCATTACAAGAGACCAGCATGGCCAAATTAGTCCAAACAAAAATTCACATAAAAAGCCACAACATTCCTCAAAACCTTTTTCCACGCTCCATAAAAGTGTTAAAAGCGAAAGTCCACAGAGCACACGATCCCATTATGGAAGAAACAACAGCAGCAACCGCAACCATCATGGCTGCTCTGGCCACCCTCACCCCACCCCAACTCTCAGATCTCACCCGCACCATCCTCTCCCACACCCATCACCACCACCGCCGTCTCTCCTCCCTCCTATCCTCCCCCATCCTCTTCTCTCTCACCCTCCACCGCCTCAACTGCCTCCCTCTCGCCCACAAGACTCTCCTCATCGCCAACCACCTCCTCTCCTCCCTCCACCACCTTACACTCCACTTCCAACCCTACACCAATCTACCGCCGCGGCAGGCCAGACAAAGAGACCTCGACGCCGTCCTGCTCCTCCTCTTACTCTGCGAAGTACACCAGCACAACCCTCAAGCCCTCGAAGCACCAAATGTAAAATGGCGCGAAATTCTAAGCGATTTGTACTCCGACAACATGTTAACAGTTTCCGGCATTGGGGTCTACAACGGGTCGGCTTTGGTGTCTTATATTGAGGTGCTGACAAGGTGCTTGAGATTCGTCAGCGTGATGGGTTTTTGCTGTGGCGGGAAGGCAGGGAGAGAAGTGGCGGCATCGCCAGCAGTCGTGGTGTCGCTGCCGTCAGTGGTGGTAAGCGGTGGCGGGAGCGAGTGCGTGATATGTAAAGAGGAGATGAGAGAACACAGAGATGTGTGTGAGCTGCCGTGCCGGCATTTGTTTCATTGGATGTGTATTTTGCGGTGGCTGAGGAAGAGGAACACTTGTCCATGCTGCCGGTTTACGCTTCCCACGGACGATGTGTTCGGGGAGATCCAACGGCTGTGGGAGATTTTAGTTAAGATAGGCGAGAAGGAATTAGCTTAGAGTGATGGTGATCAACAATGTGCACACGTGTCACCATCAGAGTGGATGGGAAATTTCTTGGCTGTGAAGGGATTGTGTGTGATGGATGAAATTGCAGAGGATCGCACATAATACTTGATATGGACGCATGTGGTTTAGGTTATAGGCATTTGTGGATTAGCATGTAGCTAAATAAATAAGACACCGAGAGAGAGAGAGAGAGAGTTTATGCGATTAATTCACTTGGGGTATTGATCTGCAATCTTCTGTAATTGATTTCACATTTCATGAAATCGAGTCCATTTTTATGGATTGGTAATTTTACACTTCAATAAACTGACCCAACCTGAGATCCAATTGATTAACATCATTCCACTATTTTTTTTATTTTATTTTTTTAAAAGTACTAGAGTTGATATTTTTGTATCACGTTGGTGTAACATTTGATGTGGCAAACGATGTGTATGTGCCACGTCAATTAATATACTTACAAAAATACTACTTTACCACACTTTTTTATCACATATTTGTACAAGCTATCTAATAGATATGGAATCCACATGTGTTGATAAGCCCAATCTCTATTAAAGAGATGATACAAATGTGCAAGTATTAAAAAAGTGGTAACTATATCATTACTCGTATATTTATCTCCTTAGACATTGATTATAGGCAGCACTAGGCGCTAGTGGACAACGGACAGAAGCCTAGCGCTTAGGGGCCTAGCCAGATTTTTTTTATTATTTTAATTAAATTTATCGTATAAAAATTAAAAATATATATATATATATATATCTATATAAATAAGTGAATACTTATACATCTATATTTAAATATATATATATATATATATATTTATAATAAATTATATATTTATACTTGTATTTGGAAAAATAAATGCAAAATAGAAGAATATATAAATTATAAAGTACTACAATTGATTGAATGCATAAAACGAAATATGTATTCCGAGTTATTTTACAAGAAAGAAAGCCTTAAGTTATTTTACAAAAAAAATATCTTTAAACCCTTTAACCTAAAAAAATAAAACAAAATACATGAACCGCCTTAGACTACCTAAGTGGCAGCCTAGAGGCGTCATGTGCCTTAGTCAGGGTGCCCGTCCTAGGATGTTATGTAATTTATTTAAGAATAGTCTGTCACCATGTAATTTTCTCATACGTAGCTGTCATAGCTAATTTATTTTTCAGTTAATAAATCATAATGTTACACTCCGATAAAACCTATTTACTTTTTAGTTAATAAACCAAGTTGAAGATCAAAGTGCATAGAACGAACAAACAACATTACAAAATACGAAGATCGATTTATTAACTGAAATGTAAAATAACCATAATAGCTACATATCAGAATACTACATTGAGATAGACTATTTTAACTCTGTAACATAACATCCTATATATAGAGAACTAACTATAATCCCTAATAGGCAAGGAAATGAAACCCTAATTTTAATAGATTAGGCACAATACCCAAAGAATAAAATAAACCTAAATATTATCATTTTCCAACAAATTAAACTATAATATTATCAGAATTAGTAAATAGGGCTTTAAGGGTTGGCACGAAACAGTTCGACTAAAGATCAGACTCAAAGTGAAAGTCACTAGACTAATGGTGTGTTTCGATTATAAAGTCGAAAGTGCCTAAATGCCATACCTTTCTAGGTCCTATATGAAACGTCCCTCGTTTAGTGTCTGTGTAGTGCATATGTAGTGCTTTAATAGTAACTTTTTAGTGCTTGAGTAATGCATTTTTAACATAGCAATAAGAAACATGGACATTTTGGACACACTGAAACAACCGTATCAAGTAAAAAAACCCAATCACCCTAAACTCAGTAAATGTGAAGGGGTTCGGATTTTCAGGTTGGCAATTACTAGAAAACTCTAGGCGTTAGCTAGTCCAAATTCTCACTCGACAAGGACAATTAAACGAGCCCACAAAAAAGGGTGGCTATCTTATTCTAGCAGCTGAGATTGTCGCAGAATTCTAAGAATTATAGCTTGTTAACACTGTTACAAAGATCATAAGAGATTTAAGCGTCATCAAGTGCAAATTAGTACTTAAAATGCCATGAGAGCAGGTGTAAAAACATCGCAGCAGTAAATATAAACAGGTATAAGTAAAACGTCCCATTACCTTAAGAGATTGTAAACTCAGACCGGTAATGTGGGATCATTTGCTCGCCTTTCTTTTCGTACCTTTATAAAAATAGCATTCCAAGACTCATCGGGTACAAATTGGTATCGATAATGCCATGAGAGCGGGTGTGAGAAATGTTGCAGCAGAATATAAACAGGTATACGTAAAACATTCCATTACCCTAAGAGCTTGTAATCTCGGACCAGTAACGTGGGATCATTAGCTTGCCTTTCTTTTGAACCTCTGTGAAGGGTAGAACTCCATTTCTGGTCTCTTTATATACCTTAAGCAAATCCTACACATTCATAATCATGAAAACTAGTCAGACCAGTCAATTCCCTAATATTCAATTACACAAGTCACAAACTGTGCTACATTAGTCACATTGTGTATTACAATGCTACAATATCGGGTGTAGCCAAGTCATTTGGATTGGATCTGCAGCGTATACTGAGTTCTTTTGCTATGATAGTTTCCACAAAATGTTTCTTCTGAAAGTGTTTTTGCTACTGATGCTATACATATCACATAGATATCAGATGTGGATATGTTTCTCCAGAAACGGACTTTGTTGAAATTATATAGTTTTATCCTAACTTTGTTGCTTTCTTAAAGTGCCCTTTTCTATTAATACTAAACAGTTCGCACAGATGGGCAGATGGAAAAGTATTCCTCTCATAAGAGAGCATCGGGGTAACATCATTTGGTTTTAAGTCCTGTAACAAACTGTTTTGCCACTGCATTTATTTGCCCAATCCACAAGTTTCCAAAGGAAAGGGACAATGAACTTATGAAAACAAAGGAGACAGAGGCAAAAGGAGTCCTGTCTAAGCCAGCAGATAACAGATGAGACTAGTAGCTTACGATCAATCAGAAACCTAGCTCACAATTTATGAGATCGGCAGTGACCAGAGAGTCAGATTCAGAGGGGAACCGACTAAAACTAAAGTTAAATTTGACTAAGATAAAGTATAACTCAAACAATGGGTGCGCAGTGTTTGAAGGATTGAGAAAATAAGGAAAGGGGTGGTACCTTGAAACCGTGGAGAGAAGAGGAAAAACAAGATGCGGAGAAGAGAAGAGGCTCACTCAAAACCTGTCTCCACATGGGTCCTGATTCCCTCCTTTCTGGGACTTGTGTCCTACCCCAGTCCGACTCAGTTCGAAGTGCAATTAGGCTCATCAAACAACGGCTATGACTCCAATGTTCCAATCCAATTTAATCAGTCTGAGCCAGCCCACGAAACATGGGCATGTAAACATAGACTAGTATGTGGGATCTTTTGCTTGCCTTTCGTACTTCTTTAAAAGATAGCATCACATTTTTGGTTTCTATATCTTTAGAAAATCCTACACATGCATCATCATGAAAATAAATTAGATGGCCAAATCACTACTCTACTATCGATATTCCCTCAGATAAATCATAAAATTCCGACTGCAAGACAAGGAAAAATGGCCATCCTCATTTGTCATAGTTTGTATAAAATAGTTTCTGCAATATCATGAACTTAGGGGAAGTTTATCTTAATTTCGACGTACAGGATACTAAGTTACATTATGCACACCCACACTTGAATGAGAATACTTTTAAACAAGATATTGTCTGATTAACTAAGGGCTAAGAAAACATAAAAGGCAGTCCAATAAAATAAGAAATCTCACAGAAGGCAAAACAAATGTCACAATAAACATCCCAGGATTTAGTCATCTCATAGCTCATTAAATTGAACCGATGCCGATACATCTTTTTTATCAAGACACTGATACCAATAGCAGGGGATACGTTGAAACAATTTCTTCCCTGTACCACAAAAATTTCCCAACATTGCCAAGGCAACCACTAATCGATTATCAAGGCTTCAGAACCGAGGCAATTATGAGTTGTTATAACATACAAGACAACCAAGAATCGAAAACTGAGAAATCAGTTAATCAAGGAATCAAAATGCCAACACAACTAAGAATTTGACAACAATACACCAAGAAAACCATGAAGTAAGGCAACCATGAATTGAGGCAGCAAAAAACAAGAGGCAACCATGAATTGGGCATCAAAATAATTGAAGCATCCAAGAACGAAGAAATCAAGTTAACTAGCCATTCATGAACTAAGGCGTAGAGATAACCGAGGCAACCGTGTGATCAAAGCAACAATATACGAGAAAAAAACGTGAAGGAAAAATGTAGACCGGAATAAATTGAGGGAAACTATTATTCAAGGCATCAATAAAAACCATGAATAGAGAGATAGATAATTGAAGGAAGTATGAGTGGTGACAATAAGAATATACTGAGGCAACCATTAATCGATACATCCATACATCAATACAACCAAGAGTTCAAGACAACCGTGAATAGGCATCAAATATCATAGACAGCCACCAACTGAGGGAAAAATATATCGAGTCAACTATGGGCAACGATGAGTAAAAATAGTTATGACAATAGATTCAGGTCATCCAAACAACCCAAGCAGACTTAGGTCATAAAGATAACTGCAACGCGATCATGAACTAAGGAAACAACACGCTGAAAAAACTGAGGCAGCAATAAACCAAGGAAACAATGTATTAAGCCCACATTAAACTGAGGCATCCATTAATCGAGGAGTCAACTATGGCTACCATAAATCAAGAAAACAACGTTTTTCAAGAATAAACTGAGGTAACCAATAACCGAAGCAATCATGATGAGGCACCGATACAACCAAGGTAACCATCATGAGGCAACAATTAATGTATTCAGCCAACAATAAACCCAGGCAACCAGTAATCAAGGTATTTATATAACCAAGGCAACCATAGATCGAGGCATCAAGATAACTCAGGCAACTAGAACTTGGACAAAAATAGACCGCGGCAACTATGAATCAAGGTATCAAATTAAACCTAAGCAAACCATGAATTGTGGAAATAATATACTGAGACAACACTAAATCCAGTTATCAGGATAACTGAGCAACAAAATAGCACTGAGCTATCATGAATTAAGGCAAACCATGAACGAAGGCATGAAAATAATTGAGTCAACCATGAACTGGGCCAACCAAAATCAAAGCAAGCATGTATCAATCCAAATTCCACACCTGTAAATTGGATACGAAAAATAAAAGAAACTGGGAATACACAACTCGCTACTCAGCCTGTGAAAATTAGGTCAAAGTTAAATACGAAGGGCGTTTCTTCCATATGGAAACAATTGAAATGCACAACACTAGAAAACCCTAAATTTTCCAAAAAATCAAAGCCCTAGAAGAATGAACCGATTTGTTTACCTCACGAGGTAGAATAGTGAGAAGGAGAAGCATATGATTTCGGCGACAATTTACGCGACAGGAAAACCACGACGCTCCACTTTGTCGTTGCTCTGCGCGCCGAGTTTACGCCACCCGCGCGGTACGAATTCAAAATAAAGTCGGTTCCTATAAGTCACGTGCCTGTCGTTTGCTGAATTCTAAATAAAGCCGGTTTGTATCACGTGCCTGCGCATTTAAATCATTAAATGAGACCAAATAATTATTTTAGTGCCTGTAGATTACGTGAAGTTCTACTTTGGTGTTTATAGTTTCAAATGTTGAGACCAAGGTATAAAATATAGATGATATCAGAAATATCGGTAGTCCAAAAACACAAAAATTTTGATGGAAATATCGGGATATTATCGATATCGATAAAAATTGAATAAAAACTATGGAAATTGTAAGAAAAACTTGGAAATTTTTATTGAAACTTTGCATGATATTTATTTAGTCAATTATCTATTAGTTTATCATAAAAAATTGGAAGGAAATGTATTGCATGATAGATATAACTGATTTAAATTGATTATATAACGACCTGGCAAACATTGTGAGTGTAGAAAATATGTAGTAATTAATGAAAGAAGTTTAAACATACCATAATCATTTATATATAATGAATTAATACAATATTTTACACTTGGGACACTTGGGATGCGGTCCCTAGCTATCAATATTTTTTGATTGAAACCTTGTTAATTTTTAGTTTTTGATTGAGGTCCCTGATATTAATGTAATAATGTAAGTTACTATATTTTTTTAATTAAAAATTAAAAATTGAAATTTGTAATTGTTTATATTAATGAGATTTTAAATAAAACCCATAATTTATGGGATTAAAAATAATAAAATATAAATTATACTCTCTATTATATTGTGTGTGTGTGTATATATATATATACATATATGTATGGGTACATTAACCAAAATTAACAAAAAAAGTTATTGTACCAAAACATGGATACATTCTCAAATCAACGAAAAAAAAATGTACCCATATAAGTTTAAACATGGATTAAAAAATTTGAATGGATTTTATAATTAAAAAGGATACATTTTACATATAACAAATTGATTTTTGAGAATGGGTACATTTAAGATTAAAAAAATTGAAAAATTATATGAATGGGTACATTTAAGATTAAAAAATTGAGAATCTTTTTATATATAAAAAAAAACTAATAGGTACAAACTTAATTTAATTTAATTTTTTATTATTTTGGAAATGTTTGAATTGAAAATTAATTAGAAGTTTAATAGAGGTGTGAGTATTAAACCCTAAATTAATTACTAATTTTTATATTAAAAAATTATATAAACAAGTAAATTCATTATCACATTAATGCTAGGGACTTAAATCAAAATTTGAGAACTAATAAGGTTTTAGTCAATGAACAGTAAAAACTAGGGACCGGATACTAATTTTTCCTTTACACTTTATACATTGCATGGTAAGATACATGAGTGTCTTAGTAAGGTCTAAAATATCGATGATATCGGAAATATCGGTAGTCCAAAAACACGGAAATTTCGATGGAAATATCGGGATATTATGGATATTTTAGACCATGGTTGCAACTCAATTCCTCTTAGTTTACAATTTAGGAACAAAAGCTTAGTTTTGTCTAATTCTTTAGATAAATTAATTATGAATTTCAGTCCATCAATTACTCAAAACAATTGACATGTCAAAATTTGTGGAAGTTTGTGTTACTCGTTTTCTTGCTTATATTGTTTAATCTTTTACATCATTAGAGTTTATATTCATTTTCGATAAATGCATCAATGAGAACATGAAATTACAGTTGCTTCGAATCATTGGAGATAATTCTATTCATGTTTGTCACCAAGAGTTAACAAAGTTGCTCATTGCCTTGTGCGCTTTTGGTTACATATTAACAGTTATTGCGCATAGTTTAGAGAACCTCTAGATTTTCATTGTTGGTGCTTTGTTTCCTATCAGGGGGTCTCAAACTCTCAATTCCCTCCAATATGCTATAATAGTAGTTAGACAACTGAGCTCTTATGTGTAGGCCACCTCATCTAATCCTAGCTACATCGCTTTTGCCTGAGTATATAGTTGTCATTTTAATTTGAGATGAACTGTTATCCTTCTCTAAATCATTATCTCTTAAGGTGTTTGTTGATTTGCTTCCTGAACTTGTGTTCAGCTATCAATTTCCCCTAAACTTTAATTTTTGCCGATTATCCCCTTAAACTTTTTAAATTAGCCAATTTCCCCCTTGAACTTGAATTTTAACCAATTACCACTCTAAACTTTTATAAATAGCCAATTTCTCCCTTAGCGTTAGATTTTAAAAACTTTCATTCAAATTTTCATATTTTTTTCCCTCATACAGCTGTCATGTGTTGTTTCCATTATCAAGATGGATGGAAAATTGGATGAAAATTTTTAAAATCTAACGTCAGGGGGAAATTGGCTATTTATAAAAGTTCAGGGGGTAATCAGCTAAAATTAAAGTTTAAGGGGAAAATTGACTAATTATAAAAGTTCAAGTGGGTAATTGGCTAAAATTAAAGTTTAGAGGGAAATTAGCAACTCCATACAAGGGGTAAATCGACAAATATGACTTATCTCTTACTCTAAAATTGAAAATATAAACAAGTTTAAGGGACATAAAGGATGTTTAGCTATGGGAATATTTTCATCCACCCTGCTAAACCCAGGTCCTACTCAAAATAATTTGACCGGTCCAGCTAATGATAATGAGTGTGCTTAAAGCTCTTGCATTCCTAATATGATCAAATACTTGCAGAATTGCTTAGTCATTTCTTTGAGTGCAAACCAAGCTAATTAGTACCAATGTCCTTTGCTATGAATGTATATGAAACGCAATGATTTTAATTTTCACACTAAAGCATAATTTAGTACTACACGGTCCTAAGTTTGAATCTCCTAAATCGCAAAAATCGAAACCAATTTATTCATTCACTTCTTAGTGTAATATATTTTTGTATAAAAAAATCACACGAAGGCAAACACAATTAATGATGATTATAGTGGTGACTTGGCCACTTTATGTTTTCGAAATTGTTTCGGTAACATACACTGTAAATCTTTACTTCGTTTAGTTTTAACTTACATCTACGCCTCTATTTCGTTCGAATAGGTTTTGAATTTAACTCTACCAAATAGCACATAGTTGGTAATGAAAAAACAAAAAAAAAATCATTTTGCCAAAAATCTAGATAATTATGAATACTAATTAGCAGAAGGTGTTGTCAACTTTATAAGGATTTCTACGTTTAGAAAATCAAACTAGGAATTTGACAGAAGAAAAATTAAAAAAAGAGGTGGGTGTATTTAATATTTATCAAAGATGCTGGTCCATCTTAGCATGTGACTACACGTCATGAAGTTGTATTAAAATGAAGGGATGTGATATCCACATATATTTTTTTACTTCTCTTATATTTTTTTAATTTTTGACTATCAGATTAGATGAATTAAAGAAGATCAAATGATAGAATTTAACAAGGGGTGATAGAATTTAACAAGGGGTGTAGGATAACACACTTCAAAATGAAACGTTTGACAATAATAAACTCGTTCTATTTAAATCACTCTCCGAAGCTCACTGGGGAGGAGTGAGAGAAACAACAAACAAGAGAAATTAACAAGATTGATCTGCGATTGTATTCTTTGATATGTTTAACTAGAGTCCAATTCCAAACTATATATGACAGATGATGAGAACAAAGTCATGAGCAAGGTGGAGGAGGAGGAGGAAGACAATACAGTGAGATAAGATCACGTGACATAACAGCCAGATCTCTGTTGAAAAATTAAATCTATGATAGCGATGTATTTCAAATTTCAAATTTCAAATTTTGGATCTATGATTCCTATTTCATGTATTTCAAATGCACTGCCTATATTCATGTATCGTAATATTGCTGGAACCAAAACTATATAAAGAAGATTCCAACCACTTTTGGTTATGATTTAATTATATAAAGAATTCGAATTATTTTGATTTCTGACTTTTTCGTGCGTTACTAACACATGGATAGAGTAATGCTAGGGAGACTAAATTTATAGACAAAGTCTTGGAAACTAAAAGACATATAAGTTAATAGTTGGTTTATTACTTAAACATTGATAAACGTGCTTATTCCAATTGATGACACATCATTTAGTTTACAAATTTAGTCTCCTTATCATTACATGGATATTAGAACTAGAACTAGAAAAAATGAAGCATTGGTCTTGGACTTTGGCTTAATTGGAGCTATGGTCCTTGAAGTAAAAGTCGATGAGTATTTATTCTTGGACTTATCACAATGTGGAACATTGGTCATTTTGAATAACACCATGAAGGACCATTGTTATACATTGTAATAAGTGTAGGGACCAATATCACGATTTTTAGTTTAGGGACCAATGCTCGAATTAGACGAAAGCTCAAGGACCATTGCTCCACTCCACTCTTAAACTTATTTCGATTTTTTGACTTCTTTTGCGTTTTTTAAAACATACTAGATAAAAAGCATGTGAATTTCACATTACTTCCTGTAATCCAATACCTGAACAACCAACGACTAACGAAATCTCGTGCCCAATTCTTCTCAACTTCTCTCGTTATAGTTAAGTAAACATGTCATCAGTCTATAAGTTTTTTTTGTGTTTAGAACTATAGGGAAAGTGGTATTTTATCAGTGATGAAAGAGCCTTCATTCATAAGGGGAAAACATGGCCTACTGAAATGTATGGAGTGAGGACCAAGAAACTTTCATTACAAAAGTGGTCAATTGCTTAATACCAAGACAACAAAATAATGAAAATCAAGAGATAACACTACAACATAAAACCTTGGGTGGTGAGAGAAATAAATAACAGATGTAGACACTTTGGGAAGATGATCACAGTTACCAACATACTTTTTAAGTACAAGAGCCATTGTCTCTCCTTCAAATGTATCATCGTCCACCTGGTATGAGCAAAAGAGACTCCAAAGCTCTCAGTCCTTGGTTTTCTAAACGCTGACAATCAAGCATCTGTGTTCTTGCCCAAGTGTATATTCCCCACATAAAAATAACAATGACAGCTACTACTGGCATGGAAGATGGAACATGGAGGTGGGTTTCTCTCTCTCTCTCTCTCTCTCTCTCTCTCTCTCTCTCATCAAAATTGACAATGTGGGATGTGGGTTTTCTCTCAGTGACGGGAAGATGGAAGGAGATGGTGGTTTGAGGACTTTGGAGTGCCTCAGAGGGAGACTGCTGGCAGAGAGGCAAGCTTCTAGGGTTGCAAAAGAGGATGCAGAACTCATTGGCAAGAAGGTAAATTTTTTGAATTTTCGATTACGGATTAGTAAACATTCAATTACACTAATTGGTTAGTTAAATCTCCAGTATATCTATATTAGGAACGCAAAAGAGGTAACCAGTTATATATATCTATATGTTGTCTGTCATTCACATTATAATGTTTCAATTGTCAACAGTTAGTAGAACTACAGAAGCAGCTCAAAGAAGAGATCAAACTGAAGGAAAAAGCAGAAAAGAAGCTCAAATATTTGAAGAAAAAGCTTGAATCTTTGAATATTTCCTCCAAAAATAGTGAAAAATCTTGTACACAATCCACTACTACTTCATCAGGATCCAATCATCCAGAAACCCATGAAGCCAAATCCAAAGTTGCAGAGTCAGAAATCCCAGAAGAATCAAGACAAAATGCAGCAGACTCCACCACATCTGAGCAAAGCCATGAAAGTACTTTCACTGAAGAAAACACTTCTTCTCAAAGCACTTCTGGTTCCAGTTCTAGTTCCAGCTTAGAATGTTCTTCACCAAAAGGGTTCTGCCACAACCCAACTCATAAATCTGAAGATCCAGGGATTGAAGATAGTAATAGGTATGTAAGTCCGATTAACCTGACCGGTTCTATCAGGTTTAGTGTCCGTACTTAGGGTAGATATTTTGGCACTCGGCTTTTAACCATACGTACTCCAAGTTAAATATTAATAATCTTTATGTGCTCAGAAGAAGTGCATACAGCTAAAATAGGAGCGTTAAAATCACTGGTGTTTAGAAATAATCTTTGACATTCCATGTTGGGATCTGCTTAATTAAGCTAATTAGAATAAAATTTGCAAAAACTTTTCAGTTGTTCTGAATACATTTGCATTAGTACCTGTGAATATGCCTGCCACCTGTGACACCAGCACTGAATTGAAGCCAGTTGGTGAAAATTTTAGGCAAGTTCTTGATACTCTAAGAGCAAGTCCACTCCAGGCCCAAAGGCCGGCAATGGGCAATTATTGCCCAAAAGATGTCCAAAACATCTCCAGTCCATGTCCAAAAGTCAGGCAATTGGATGTACCCAAGTGTGCCGGACTAGGTAACCAGAGCAATCCTTGTCCGACCCTGTGCTCGAGTTGGATCTGATGTCATGCTGACGTAGAATGTTCAACTATGGAGATGTAGGCAATCCTTCTGCGCCACTTTATTCTTACTCACATTTGATACCATCGTCTTCTTGCTTGCCTGCACATCGCAAAATTATCATCATCGATATATGAAATGGAAAATTACTATTTACTAAGGCAATAATTGCCTATTACCTAATTACCAGAACAATTATGAAGGGATATCATAGAAAATCTTCAAAAATCAATGGATTAAAGAATTATGATTAGATATGGTCCATTTGATCACCAATCTCAAACATGCAAATAGTAATCATTAATACTTGTGGGCATACTATGTAGATGAAATAATTAGTACTAGTTATAGTTATCGTTTGAATTGGATCTAACAGCTCTAAATATCGGAGCACAAAGTATTTAAGTGTATTGAAGAAAATCTACTAGTTTCATGCATTGTGTAGTGTATTTGGATGGATTAATATCTGTGGATGTGGGTAATAAAGTTGTTTCATGTGGTACATTCACTCATAGAGGGCATGTGAATTGTGGGGTTTGTTGCAATATTGATGCTCTGACTTGGACCCCAACTTCTTGGCCACATCCTTCTTTTGGTTTTCTCTACTTTATTTTGTGGCAATCTCTTGAGTGGAACTGAATTTTAGGAGGTGGTTGGCCATGGCAGCTTGATTCTTGTGACCTGTATATTAAATATTTTCTTGTTGAGATCTGGCCAAACTATCTTTACATTTGTTGGCTTGGTCTCACAAGAGCATGTATTTGGATATAGTTGCACAAGAAAGAGCAAAAATCTTTTTTTTTTTTTTTTTTTTTGGGGTCAAAAGTTAAAACAAAAAGTTCTCAAAGTTTGAGTAAAGAGTAATTTTTTGGAGTGAATGTCTGTTTCGTGGTGTTTCTTATTTACTCATCTCATATCACGTATATCTACTTATTAACTAATGAATTATTTGTAAATGCGATATTCGTACTCAAAACTTATCATTGATCTTAAACTTTCACTTTTCGAAGCCATTCAACGAAACTTAATAGATAATGAAAAATGATTTCCACTCCCATTCTTTCCTTCTACGCTTCTATCTGTGTGTGTTCTTTTTATTCAATTCAATAGCCACAAAAAATAAAAGACAGTTAAAAAGAAAGAGGGTGCGAAATCATTTTCTTTCCTTCTACGCTACAACATGATTCTTTCTCGCACATTATTTTTCACGAATAAATTAAATCTCTACCGTTCTTTATTTGTCTTTTAATATCTAGGAGAGCAAAAGTGTTTTATTGGCAATTAAGCTTGGGCCCTGTGCTAAGATTTGTCCATGGATGTGAAAAATGGCGATAAAAGAACAAAGGGTTGTTAAACCCCAGACATGGATCCTCTCTTCAGTGTGGCTTGCCGTTGAGTCAGTGCTTTGGATTGACATGCAGCCCATCACATGATCAAAGAATGCACACATGCAATGCAATACATTGGAATTTTTTTTTTTTAACAAACGGTATTATTTATACTAAAGGAGTGGGGCAGTGTGTTAAATCTCATAATAGGCTAGCAATAATATGGTTCAAATTCATCTTTGATGAGAATTAAACCTGAAATCTCCCACTTACAAGTGAAGAAGAATATCACTAGACCGTAATATTAAGTGATTGAAATTTTATATTATAGATGTACAAGTTTTTTTATTTTTTCAGAAAATAATATATTCAGTCCAACAATTGGGACTATTGCACAATAAAAAAAAATAAAAATAAAAAAACGCACAAACGTGCTCAAAGCTAGTCCTAGTCCTAATTTGAACTTCTGACAGAGACCTGGTAATAAAAATATTAGAGCTTATTTTGTGTTTAATTTATAAGCGATATATTATTTAAAGTTAGATTAAAGAGGGAGGAAATATTTGTATCCAAGACGCAACTGATTGAAGAGAAATACCCTATATATCAAAACAATTCACCACTTATTTTTCATGTTTAATTTTGTTTGTACTATACTTGATCAATTCCGAAACTACTAAACACCGGTCAACGTTATACCGTCAAGGACCCAGAAGAGTTTCCCTCCAACCAGAAGGCCAATCACAACGCGACACGTGTCGACATCAGAAGCCAATCATAGCGCGACACGTGTCAACATCAGAAGCCAATCACAACACGACACGTGTCAATATCAGAATGAAACTAGAAACTCTCTTCTATAAATAGAGATCATTCTCTCACAATATTTCCTAATGTCATTTGTACTAAATCGTTCACTAGTACTCACTAAAGGAGAGCTTGAACCTATGTACTTGTGTAAACCCTTCACAATTAATGAGAACTCCTCTACTCCGTGGACGTAGCCAATCTGGGTGAACCACGTACATCTTGTGTTTGCTTTCATGTCCCTATCCATTTACATACTCATCCATACTAGTGATCGGAGCAATCTAGTGAAGGTCACAAATTTAACATTTTATGTTGTACCAAAGTCCTCACTGATTTTGTGCATCAACAAATTTATAATTTTTTCTTTTTGTTAAAAATAAAAAAGGAAATACAAAGGAGAAAAAAAGGGATGGCAAAGGTTGAGGGTGGTGGAAACTGGAAAGTGGACCAATGTACATGGAAGAGTTGAAAAAGGGACACTTAAAAACTGAAAACAAATTGCAGCAAGTTTTCTTTTCTAGTTTTTGTTTTGTATTGCCACCAAGCGTGTTTTCGCACCAGTAATTAAAATAAAAATAAGGAGTTTGATTCGATTAAGATTATTTTTGTGATTATTAACACATGGAGGAATCAAGAATGTGTGGGGTTCACCAAAAACAAAGTCAGAGTTCTATATGGATTGGGGCATTCTCAAACAATAAAGTTACAAATTAAAGAGTTCAAGAATTTAGTAAACAAAATACTTATATATTTATCCATAAAATTTTTCATACAACATATAACAATATCCGTCGACACATTTTCATGTTTTGACAACGTTGCATGAAAACTTCATTACTAATACCATCAAATATCTCTCTTTATAAAAATAATCTTGTTATCATTTATCCATTAATCTCTCATCCGATATTCTTCAAAATTTCATAGCCGAAAATGCTCACGTTGTTATAAACTTGTTGTTTAAGTGTGATTGTGTAAATCCTATATTAGATTTGATTCTAGTTATTCTTCCCTATTAGGACTTGTATTCCTTGGAGGAGAAAGATTTCTTCTCCCTCTTATTACTATAAATAAAGGACTGGGTAAGGGGAATAACATTCTCTACACAACCCTACAAACACATCTCTCTCTATTCTCTCTCTGTGCAGCCGACCCCCTTCCCCTGCCAGTTAAATATAGGCCACAACACGTTATCAGCACGCCCCTACCACTGCGCTTAGGAATCTAACGTGGAAGCTTTCTGCATCAAACCAATTCACCAATACCATCACGCAATCAGGTTCTTTCAAAACAACGGTTTTTATCTCGATATTTTTGCATCCATAATAGCAGAACATTCACCATAATACATGATCCAACTTTACGTTTTTCAAATTTTAGATTCTACATAAATTGTGTATGCATCATATCCCTAATTGTTGAATTATGTGAATTTGATATTGCCATGAATTGCATCAAATATATGTCCATGCATTAAATTATTTGAATTAATCTGAAATTGAAATTTTTTATTAAAATATGGATTAGGGTTTCGTTCTAAACCCCTTCACCGTGTGAGTCGTGGCTAGTGAGCCGCCAAGCGATCGAGCCACTAGGCCCAAGCCTGCAGCTTGTGTGGTTGAGCCGAGCTACAAGACCACAAAGCCGGAGCTATGGGCTCCTAGTTTGAAACCCAGAAAAAAAAAAAACCCATGATGCCTTCTATGGCGTCTGCTCCATCACAGGTAAGCCTGCAGCCTAATCTTGACCTTCGGTCCTCATCATAATGACCTGAAGATCATCCTCCGATGGGTTTTGACCGAGATTCGTTTAAATCTCACCGGTTTTTCTTCGAAATTCTAAGTTAAATTTTCTAGGTTTTTTAAACACGTTGAGAGTCTCTACTCTTCATCTACCTCTATGGGTCGCCGTCGAACCCATGGTTTTTTGTTTTGATTGTTGCACCACGACACAACCGCCTGAAACGGTGGTACCAGTCTCATTCTCCAGCGAGTTCACCCAGTTAGCGCTAGGGTGTATGGTTCAAACCCCAAGCCCACTTGGGCTTAACCTATTCTCCAACGAGTTCACCCAGCTAGCGCTAGGGTGTCTGGTTCAAACCCCAAGCCCACTTGGGCTTAGCCTGTTCTCGGTAAGCACCAGCCTTTTGGGCTTTGGAGTTTTTCTTGACCCAACACTGGCCCTTTTTGGCCTTTGTTTTTGGGCTTGCACCTGCAATCCGTTTTCTATGATGTTGGGCCTACCTACATGCTAGGCCTGTGCCTACCCCAGCCCAGTTTTAGGCCTGAAACTCATGGCACCAATTCACCTACCCACCTGTGGGCTTTGGTCAAAATTTTTGGGCCCCGAGTGTTAATCGCCTATGTTTTAGGTACTTTTGGGTTTTATAATTTTTCACCCACGCTTTAAATTTGGCCTAAAATCTAAATAATTAAATTCATTATAATTATGGACCTGAAGTTCTATTTGCATATTTTTTTGTTGCACATTTATGTATATATATATATTTGTGTTTGTCTGGAAGAGCATATGAACATGAAGTTCATAATTATTTTGAAACCTGAAATTTCTAGAAACATGCCTTATTTGAAAACCTAAAGTTTTCCTTAAAAACACCA